AGCTTTATGAACTTATTACCCGAAAGTTTATCCGCCCTAGCCATTTTCTTTGGGGCACTCCTGTATTGTTCATGAAAAAGAAGGATGGTTCTCTTAGACTCTGTGTGGATTACCAGGAACTCAACCAAGCAACAGTTAAAAGCAAGTACCCCTTACCTCGGATTGACGACTTCTTTGATCAATTTTAAAGAGCTAAAGTCTTTTCTAAAATTGACATTGGGATGGGATACTACCAGTTGAGAGTCAAAGAAGAAGATATTATGAAGACTGCTTTCTGATGCAGGTACAGTTTATATGAGTTCAGGGTAATGTCATTCTAGTTAACCAATGCCCCTGCAGCCTTCATGGATCCCATGAACAGAGTTTTCCGACACGCACTAGATCAGTACATCATCATATTTATTAATGACATCTTAGTGTACTTCAAGAGCCTAAAGAAACATGTAGTACACTTGACTAAGTGTTAGAGACCCTTCGTTGGAACCAACTATATACTAAACTTAACAAATGATCATTCTGATTAGATCGAATTTCTTTTCTCGGTCATAAAATTTCAAGTGAAGGAGTTTTCATGGATTCGTCTAAGGTTAAAACAGTAGTCAACTGGAGTCTGCCCACCAATGTGGCTGAGGTACGTAGTTTCTTTGGTTTGGTAGGTTGCTACCGATGATTCATTGATGAATTTACTAAGATTGCTACTCCGTTGACCTAACTCACCCAGAAAGACGTGCCATTTTTCTAGAATTACGAGTGGAATGAGAGCTTCATGAAATTAAAGTGTCATTTTACCTCTGTTCCTGTGTTGATCCTCCCTAACAATATAGGAATATTTCAAGTCTACTGCGATGCATCACATATTGGCTTGAAGTGTGTTTTGATGTAGCATGCTAGAGTGTTCACTTATGGGTTCTGACAATTGAAACCTCATGAGCGAAACTACCCTACTCATGACCTAAAGTTAGTGGCCATTATCTTTACCCTGAAGACATGGTGTAATTATCTGTTTAGTCAGACTTTTGACATTTACACTTACCACAAGAGTATGAAGTATATATTCTCATAGAGGGAGTTAAATATGAGACAGAGACGCTGGATAGATCTCCTGAAAGACTATGACTGTAAGATCATCTATCAGCCCAGAAGAGGAAATGTAGTTGTTGATGCACTAAACAGAAAGGAGTCTGTAGTGTTGGCCCAAACCATGGCCTCTAGTTAGAAATTGATGGATATTAGCTACCTAGGCAAAAACACCTATCTTGCTCAAATTTGAGCCCTACCAGATCTCTTCGTAAAAATTGAGGAAGCTCAGTTCACGGACCCGAAACTCACCAAGAATCTAAGTTCTCTTTTGATGAATCTCCTAATTTAAGGATTTCAGATGATGGGCTGTTTAGATTTCAGAACCAAATTTGGGTCCCCATTGTTGTAAGGGCGGATATTCTCAAGACCACCCATGCTTCTAAGCTATCTATCCATCCCAGGAGTACCAAGATGTATCGAGACTTGAAGCATCAATACTAGTAGCTAGGAATGAAGAAGAATATAGTTGACTGCATCTTCCGATGCCTTATTTATCAGAGGATTAAGACAGAATATAATAGACCCTGTGGTTTGTTACAAGGCCTCCCGATTCCAAAATGGAATGGGAGCATGTAACTATGGATTTTGTCACATGATTTCCTAGGAATTGTTCTGGTCAGAACACTACTTGGGTCATCGTTGACAGACTAACTAAGACTGCTAATTTTCTGCCCATCAAGATCACTGACTCCACCAGTAAATTAGTTGGGCTATATATTGATGAGATTGTTTGACTTCATGGTGTTCCATCATCCATTGTATCTGATCGAAACCCTCGATTTACCTCCCACTTCTAGGACGACTTTCAGGAAGCTCTGGGGTCTGGATTGTATTTCAGTACCAATTATCATCCTCAAACATATGGTCAGTCGAAACGTACAATTTAGACGTTGGAAGACATGTTGCGTGCCTGCGTCCTCGATTTTGGCGATAACTGATATGAGTATCTTTCACTATGTGAATTTGCTTATAATAACAATTATCCTTCCAACATCGACATGATTTTAGCGATAACTGATATAAGTATCTTCCGCTATGTGAATTTGCTTATAATAACAATTATCCTTCCAACATCGACATAATTTTGGTGATAACTAATATAAGTATCTTCCGCTATGTGAATTTGCTTATACTAACAATTATCCTTCCAACATCGACATGGCTTCCTATGAGGCATTATATAGAAGGCCTTGCTGTTCTCCCACTTGTTGGAGTGAAGTTGGGAACCAGCACCGTTTAGGACTAGACTTCATCTAAGAGTCTATTGAGAAGGTCACGATTATCTGCAAAAACTTGGCTACTGCCCAAAGCCATAAGAAGAGTTATGTCGATAATCATATGTGACCCTTGGAATTTGCTGTTGGAGACCAGGTTTTCCTCAAGGTTTTTTCCTATAAGGGAAAGATTCAGTTTGGAAAAAAAAGAAAGCTAAGCCCTTGATATGTGGGACCTTTTAAGATCATTGAGCGCATTGGACCCATTTCATACTGCCTCACTTTATCCCGAGAGTTTACAGGATTACATGACGTCTTTCACGTATCGATGCTTAAAAGGTACCACTATGTTCCTTCTCATATCATTGCTCACACTGAAACACAGATACAAGCAGATATGACATATGAGGAAATCTCCGTGGAGATTCTCAGATGGAGTGATAAGGTCTTGTGCAATAAGATGATTCCCATAGTGAAGGTACAGTGGCAACATCACACCCCAGAAGAAGCCACGTGGGAGTTGGTGAGTGAGATGAGGGACAAGTATCCGAACTTGTTCGAGATAAATTTGGAGATCAAACTTTTCTAAGGTGGGAGGGATTTAACACCCTACCCATCGCTATGCTTAATTAATTTAGAAAATCCTATTTATTCGAGCCTTTAGACCGCATTGAACTCATTTAATTTACTCCATAAATTATTATCGTAATTCGTAAATTTTACCAATTTTAATTTGATTTTATTTTAATCAATTCTATTTTTATTGCATTAATTTTAATTTTCTTTTTTTTCAGTACAAAAAAAAAATGAAATTTTGGAAAAACAGTGAAATAGGAAAAAATCTCAAGAAAAAATCCCGCGGGGAAGGGAGCTACCTTTGCGAGCGCATGTGCAATATGCGCGTGCACGTGCACAAAGTTGGCACGGGATGTGCACACAGCGCACATATCCCATCCACGCACGTAAGCGTAGGGTCAGACCCAGCACGCATCCTATCGCACACAGGTGGGCCATCCGTGCGTCACCTCAAGCATGGACAGGCACCGCACATTGTGCGCACGCCGTCCATGCAGCAAGCTTACGCAGATAGTCCCTTGTGCACCTCGGACCTTTGCGTAATATGCCTGCACGCGCACACATGTTAGCTCCTGTGCACGCGACAAGATGCTCGTGCACTAGCAGGCTAGCCTGTATTGCGCTGGACGGACCACTGCCGCCTCGAGTTGTGCACCGTTATCACCTCGGGCGGCATGCTACTGCATCGGCAGAGGAGACTCTCCTCCCTTATTTTTCGTGTCGAGCATCTTTTTCCTCTCTTCACCAAATTTTACCACATGGCACAAATTTGACGGTTCTTAATTTCTATAAATAAGGCCTTTCTTTCCCATTCTTTCGCACACTTCTATTCTTCCATTTTTCAAGAATTAGAGAGAGAGTGATCTAGAGAGGGAAGGAGAGAAAGAAAAGAAAAATGATATAGAAAAAATTATCAAGGTTTTGGTAAGGAATTTAGTATTTCTTTAAACTTCTTAAGGGATATTTTTATATAAAAGAAAAAAATTATTAAATATGATGATTGTGATTTTGCCTGTTTTTCATGCTTTTGTGTTTGTAGGTATAATAAGCTAAAGTGTTCTTGATTTTAAGCATGTTATGTGATTTATAGACACTTAATAATTTGCATGTAATAAAAATAATATGAAATTAGTATTGGGAAAATAAAATAAATAAATAAAAATGTGGAATGAAGTATGAATGGTCTGAAGTATGTATCTGTATTGACATGCATAATACATCAAGTGTCTCGTTAGGCTTTTTATCTCTGAAGGTATCTATTTCTCCTTCCCGCATCTGGTCTGGAAAGATGCAAGAGGACCGCTCCCTATGGATGACAACGTACCCTCTTACGAGAGTGGTGACACAAATATCTGTTAAGGATCAACTTTGGCTAAGAACTGTCGTGACTATAGAATATCTAATAGGACCACTATGGTTGATACGACCCTGGTCATAGATTGTACCATGGTTTGACAAGCCAAAAATGTGCTTGACCAAATTTTTGTTATCTATATTTAATTTGGTCATTCCACATGGGTAGTTGAAAATCTCTATTTGCCTTCAGAGATGAAAGTTGTAACGACTTTGCGAAGCATGACACAAAAATATAAGCATTTCATGATTTATTTGATTTTTTCTATTATCTGGTATGATGTGTGTTTGTTTTGCTTCTATTAATGTGTTGTTTTATCTAATAAATAAATTATTTTCATAATGTAAGATAGGTCTACAAAGTAGCCAAATGGTAAGTATTTATGCTAGAATAATTTACTTTTAAAACATTGCTACGTTATTTAAATATTATTTTTCTTACTGAGCATATGGAACTCACTCTTCTATGCCACCCCAGATAAAGAAGAAAATGAGGAACTGCCAGCTGACCTACCCATTGAGGTTTATGAGGATCCTATGGATCCACAAAACTTGAGTGCATTATTGTTCCCATACTCTAATGAGTCCAATAGCATAGTGAAAGAACTGACCCTCTTTTGTATTTTGACTTTGTATTTTGTAGTCACTTATGACCTCAATTGTACGTATGTTATTGGAACTCATATATTTGTAAGGGATTTGTATTAATTTGTTCCGCTATATAAAATTTTATTCGTAATCCTGTTTCTATATTTGACACTCATTTGCCTTAATTAGCATTTGGGATGTCACAATGTGGCTGTTCTGGAGTTGGCGGATGGTGGCGCGCTGTGACGCCGGCAACAGGGACTGCATGTCCCAAGGTAAAGTCTTTTCCACCTTTTGTGTGTATAGTTCCAAAATTAGTCATTATTTAATATGTATATTTACCATTATAAACAAAGGAAGTTATACAAATGGTATCTGGAGTTCGAGAGACCATAGGACAAGCTAGGAAGGATCCTCAAAGTTTTTCTAATCACACCATAGGTAAGAATTGGGTTAATTATGTACAAAGAAATAATATTTTGTGTATAAATTATAAAGGATTTGTGTAATTATATATATGTATAAATTATCTGTGCATGTTTTTATGTAAGTAAACGTAAATGGTGCATGTGTGTGCATTGGGTATCAATTGATAAGAATAGAACTAATAAGGACAAATGCGTAAATGGATGTGTATCGTATGTTGTATGTATTGTGTATGTGTGTTTAAGTATAGATATGCGTGTATGTATCAATAGATATGTGTGTGTGATATGATATATATTCTTTGTGAGACATGTTGTGAAGGTACATGTCTGTATTGTAATATATGTGTATGTGTGTGTATTAATATATGTGTACATAGGTGATGAATGTGAATGTTCAATATGTATGCGAGTGGATAATGGTGTATGTATTCATGTTAGATTATTTGCAAGAATTAGGAACCTTAAGTTAATATAGATTTAAGATTTTTATATAAGAAACTGAATAAATTGAAAAGATATGGAAAACTAACACCAAAAGAAATAGAGAAGTATAAATTAGTTAGAGAAATAGGTTGAATTAGCCACCGAGAATATAAGTATATGAAATAGTCTTAAAATCGAGGGTTTAGGTGAATTTAAAAATAAATTGTGCAGCTAGTAGATAGAAGAATGAGAGAAACTTTTGGATGACATAAAAGGAAAATTTTAAAGAATTAATAAGACACTTAATTAGTTAATCGTGAATTAAGGAGGGGAGGGTGCATGTGTGACTGAATTTCAGCGAGTATGGTGAACTTGCACATGGATAGTTATATGAAACCTAGTCTAGACGAGGATAGATATTTGTGAGTGTGTGGGTCAGTTAGTAAACATACTTGTTGTGGCCAATGTAAGATAGTGTGTATGTTATCCATGCGATGGGGGGATCCTTCTCACCTTTCCTTGATAGCAATATAACGTCATCGAGTGATGGTAACCTAAATAAACTTTAAAACACTAAATAACATGAAATATAAAGTCCAAGTGGAGTGATATGTGTTGTTGAGATATCCGAATTGAATTCGAGTGGAGAGATTTGTGTGTGTGAGCAAATCTATTTTGTTTTGGGGAAAATGTGATCTGTGTGTATGTGTGTGCAAAATTCGTATATGTAAGACGTATGTAAAAGGAAAGAGTGATAAGTGAGAAAATGAAACGAATAGTATATGTGAATAGAGAAAAAGAAAGAGTTAGGTCATAAGAGAGAGGATTGAAATATGTTTCACATGTTGATTGTTTTGTTATGTATATTAATTGTGATGCTTTACTTGATATTTTTCTTAATTATAAATATTTTACATATTGCATGAATGTATGTATATATGTCTTTGTTGTAGAATTCTTTTTCAATTGAGCTCGTGAAACTCACCCCAATTCACCCCCATTTCAAATAAGAGAAGATGAAAATAAATCCAAGATCAAGAGAAGATTGTGAAGGAAAACTGTTTAGTTTTTATTTTAGATTTGTAATTAATTTAGATACCTCATATCTACAAATAAATGATTATTCCTTTTTTTAATTTTTTTTAATTTTTAATCACTATATATGTATCTTATTTTTAATTTTTTTCGAATTGAATAGAATTTAAAATATATTTTTTAATTTCATTTAAAAATAAATATCTTATTATTAAATTTAAAAATCTTGTGAAACTTATTTATTGTAAAGTGATAAAATTATGAAATTTAATTACTAAAAATTAAAATGTCTACACTTAACTTATTATAATATATATATATTGGTTCTAAGGAAGATTGGGGAAAAATCAAGGAAGGAAAATTAGAAAGAAAGTGGAAAATTTAATTTTCTTGAAGACAAATTCAAGGAAATCGAGAAGGTTAGAAGTATTTTAATGAAGCAATCAGATGTTTTATGTCAAAAAAGGGATAAAGCAATCCAAAGCATTCTTAAATTAATCAAATAACGCCATGAAGTTGTATCTAATTGCTTACATCCCTTTTTATGTATAATAATTTAATAATCATATATGCATATATATATATATGTTATTATTAATATAATTATTATGTTGTTAAATTTTTTTATTTTTTTTTATTTTTTATTTTACTTGATAAAAATATTTTAAATGGTAAATTATTAAATTAAATTAGTATTATTATTTAATTGATTTTTAAATAATCTAAACATAATCTTAGTATTTTAACTTGTTTAATTAAAAAATAAAAAGAAACTACCTAAGTTCTTGTATATTAAAGCACACATTTACATCAATACACAATTATAAAATTATCTAATAATAAAAAAATAGCAACATAGTGTTTTTTTAATACTTAAAAAAGATAAGATATTAGTTCATTGTACTTTCCCTAACTAAGGGAACTTAACTATCACCAATTGTTATTTTATTTATAATCAAAATAACTTACTTGGATAAAATCCAACTTAGTCACCTTGGTCTTATTAATACACTAGTTATTTAGGTCATAAGTTATCAAATATTAAGATCTGGCCATTATTATCTCATATTACATCCACAAAGTGATGAGTTCTATATCTTCAGTTAGGTTCAAAGCCGTAACCTTCTAGTAAAATATTAAGATTTAACTATTATACTATACTAGTGATAATAGCAACATAATATATATATAAATATGTGAGTTCATTGTTAAATTAAAAATAAAAAGATATTAAATTTCTTCTAAAAAGAGATTTTATTATTGATATTAAATTTAATCTAGTGGGTCACCCATGATGGGATCCGACCCAGTTGGATTAGTGGTAACTACTAGTTCAAAATTTAAAATCAAAAAAATTGTGGTTAGTTACCACATCCAAAAGAAAAGGGGTAGTTACCTACTTAATGTTCTGTAAGAAAAAAAAAAGAAAGAAAAATAGGGACATAATGCACTGAAAAAAACACACACACACACACACTCTCTCTCAACAAAAACTTCTTTTTCTGTGAAGAAGAAAAGATTTTTTGTTAGTTTTTCCTCAAAGTTTGGATTTTTACAAGAGATATTTATGCCATGAAAATTATATATAGTTCGTTATGCATTAAAATGATTATGTGTGATATTATTCAAAAATAATTTTGAAAAAATAATTACAGAATTATTTTATGAATTATATGTTAATTCTATGAGCTTTCTAACATTGGTATTAGAGTCTCTTGATTATTTGCGTGTTTAAATTTATTCTAATTTATATTTTTGTTGAATGTTTAAGTAATAATCATTTTTTACATTTGTGGTAAAATATTTTTATATTTTATTATTTAAATATATGCAATATTAGTCTTAACTTAAAGTAGAAATCAAAAACCTTAATGTGATATATTATTTATAATTTTTGAACTAAAAATGAAAGAGTTATGTGTATTTTTAAAAGCAATTATATTTAAAAAGAGATGTTCTGTCAATAAATTTATAATTTTTTTTTTGTAACTCTTCTGAAGATGGGAATATTTTTAATCTTTTTATTTTTTAAAAAGAAAAACTTTAAAAAATTATAGAAAAATGACCAAGCGCAAAATCATGACTTAGAAAGCTTTGTGCTCTGCCAACTAAGACTAGATTAGCTTTCATTGTCTAGTCTCAATATTCAGTACAATAAAACAAATAAATGAAGTAAAATTTCTGAGGGTGGTAGGATTTGAACCGGCGTGCTGGGAAAACCTAAATGATTCTTAATAAGAGCCAATAACCACTCTGTCACACCATTTATTTATTTTAATTAAGAAAACCTTATAATTAGGATCTGAAGAGGATAATTAAAAAATATTGTTGTCTTGTTATATAAGTTAATTATTCGTTAATTAATTTATCATACATTAATAAATTAATTATTAGTTAATTAATTTATTATAATAGCCACTGTGAATGTATTAATTATTAGTTAATTAATTATGTCACGTTTGAATAAATTAATTATTAGTTAATTAATTTATTATAATAGTTATTTTATATAAATTAACTATTAGTAATTAACTTATGAAAATAGCTTATTAAAAATACGTTCTTTATTTTTTGTATATGTTACAGAAAATTAATTGTGATAATGATAAGAACTCTTGTGACAATTAAGACTCCTCAACAGAGAGAGAAAATTAATCGTATGATACAAGACTTAAAAAATACTAATATGCAGGAGATTAACAAACAAACTAAAATTGAACTTTTAATGAATCATATCATTAAAGTCAATGGAAAGATTAAAAAAATTGTATGGAAATGAGGTCTTTTAAAAGATAAAGAAAAATATGATGCTCTTAAGGGAAGCTTACATATCCCTAGTCATTACGGCTTACTTGAGCTTTATTAGGACAAAGAACAAGCATATAAACCCACAGTTAACAAATTTATCAAGGAATATGTTAATTGGGGTGCTAGAAAAATAGCTGGGGCTTCAATAGGGGTTTCCACACGAAAAGGACATCATAAAATTATTGGTGTCCCTTTACCCAAAGCAAGTACAAATTTCCTTAAAGATGACTTCCAAAATAAACTTAGGGAATCTTTTCCTAAATATAAGATTATAATAAGATAACTATTTTATATTGTTATTAGTATTATTTTTATTTTTGTGAATTACTCATAAATTTTGTTCTTTATTCTTATTAAAGAAATGTTATTCATGTTTTTTGTATTTGTTACGTATATATATATAAATATTATTAAGCATTGAATAACATGCATAATATCTATATGTATCTGCAAATGGAATCTGCTTATCTTAACATTTTCCCTGAACTTAACAAATGATAAAAATTAAATGGCGACAATTTTGAGATATGGGGTATGAAAGTCTAATTTGTGCTTGAGGAGCAAGAGGCTCTAAAAGCTTTGAATGAATCCATTAATGAACTTGAAGAAGGGAACACGACCCAACATTTGAGGGACCAAATAATTTTTGAGATTTGGAAGAAGAAGAACTCTCTCGCTCACATTATGTTACTAAGCAGTATGGAAAATAACATCATGACAGAGTTCAGGAAGTAAGACATACCTAAGGACATGTGGTGCACATTAGCTCAAAGGTTTGATGGTACGTCTGTAATACCCCGCCCATCATTGTGCTTAAATAATTTGGAAACCTCTATTTATTCGAACTTTTGGCCACATTAAACTTAATTAATTTATTTTACTTAATATTTATCATGATTCGTAAATCTAGTTAATTTTTATTGAATTTTTTTATTTAATTTTAAATTTTGTTATTTAATTTTGCGTTTAACTTATTTAAATTAATTACAAAAATTTGAAAGAAACCAAAAAACGATGAAATGGGAAGAAAATCCCGTAGGGAGATAGGTTGCCCGCGCGGGTGCTGGGCTGCGCGCATGCATAGTGACCGCAGGACGTGCGCACAGTGCAGGGTCAGGATCTGCACACGTCTTGTCGAGCGCAAGCTGGCCGCCCGTGCAGATAGGCTTTGTGCACGTAGCAGGAGCCCTATGTGCCTGTAGGCTAGCCAGCGGTGCGCAAGCCAGACAACTACCACCTCGGGTAGTGCGTCACTGCTGCCTAGGGTGACGCGCTATCGCCGCCGGTAAAGGAGGCCCTCCTCCCTCGTTTTTCATACCGAACATCTTTCTCTTCTCTCTCTTCACCAGATTTCATCACTTGGCGTGAATCTGACAATTCTGAAACTCTATAAATTGCTCTTCCCCTTTCTTTCCTCTCCACACTTCCATTCTTCTATTTTTCAAGATTTAGAGAGAGAAAGAGAGAGAGAGAGAGATAGTAGTCTAGTGAGAGAAGAAGAGAAAAAAAGGAGAATGGTGAAGGAGAAAATATCGAAGTTTTGGTAAGAAATCTAATATTTTTTTTGACGTTTTTAGGAGTATTTTTAGATAAATTAATTTAATATGATTGTAATTTTGCCTATTTTGTATACTTCTATGTTTAAATTAGTCGAATTGTTCTTGTTTTCAAGCATGCCATGTGAATTGTAGACACTTGATGAATTGCATGTAATAAATATAATATGTAAATGGTAAAAATAAAAAATAGAAAGAAAAAAAAGTGGAATGAAACCTATATGTTCTGAAGTGTATCTGTATTGACATGCATATTGCATCAAGTGTCTCGTTAAGCTTTTTATCTCTAAGGGGTATCTGTTCTCCTTACCCTTCAGGGTATCTGTTTCCACCTTCCTTATCTAGTATGGAAAGACATAAGATGACCACTTCTAGTAGATGATGGCGTACCCTCTGACGAGAGTGGTATCTCACTATCTGTTGGGTCACCTGTGGCTAAGTAATGTCATGATTGTAGATATCTGTTAGGGTCACTATGGCTAGTATGGCCGTGGTCATAGATTGTACCATGGTTTGGCCAACCAGAAATGGGCCTAAGAAAATTATCGTATCTGTATCTGATCTGGTCATTCCACTTGGGTAGTTAGAAATCTGTATATGCCCTCAAAGATGGAAGTTGTAACGATTTCGCGAAGCATG